AGGCTTAATGATTAATTAGATGGAACATTGTGGGTGTGGTGTATGAATGTTAACACTTTGTAATAATTCTTTAGTATATTACTTGTGTGGTGTAGAAGAGAATTATCTATGTAGAGATACTGCTTGCAAACCAATGATGGTAAGATGATGTCATGGGGTAGGACTGGATAAGTCTGACTTCTTCCTACTCCGTTCAAGCATGTACTAGGTATAAGCAAATTGATAATGGATTAGCATTTGTTGGATATGTGTAAAATTATGTGTGTTGACATATCAACTGTCTTTACATGTTTGAAAGAATAAATAAATCAAATCAAAAATCAAAATCAAATCAAAGTTCAAGTTCAAGTTCAAAGTGATTATTGTCATATGCACAGCAGAGAAACATGTTTCCCTGTACAAACTCGTCCTCTGCTATCCACAATGAATGCCAAACAATATAAAGCCTAAGTATAAAATAGATAACACAGTGGTCCTGTGTCGGCAGGTTCCCCCTGAAGGGGCTGAGTGGGCTGCTCCATCTCAGGTTTATCCGCAGCATCAGTCACCCCCCATCCCTGGGGGATCCACAGCACAGCTATCCAGTTTCAGAACTGTCCTCTTGGGGCACTCACGAGAAGATGGCCCCATCTCTCACAGTGGCCCAGACATATGACAAGCAACGGGTCTGTGAGAAAGCATTTTAACAAAGAAAGAGGACAAAGGCAAGAAGACAGAGGGAGAAAGGAGGGATGGCAATTAGGAATGAGAGTATGTGGTGAAGATCCACTGCAAGCGAACCACTTGTCACTGTGGCATTACCAAACATTGTGCATGACTAATGTATAATCTTTTCCAACAATTTAGGCGGCCACACAGCACCTCATTAATGTTTCTGTTTATATCCTTGGAGACAAAGGATATAAATAAGATGGTGAGATCCCAGATTTCTCCAGAGCGGTGAACAAACAAAATGTCTTAACCCACCATTGCATCAGGCTTTTGCTTATAGCAATTCCACATGAATTTAATGAATTTAATGAATTTTATCTGGATCAGGCCCACATCGCAACAAATCCCATAATGCCTTGCAAAGAAAAGTGAACATCACGTCATTTTTTGTTGGTTTTTACAATAAATTTTAACAGCAACAAGATTTGTTGCCAATCAGCAGGTAAAGATCTTAAAGATTAGAAACAGGCCTTCACACTTGGGACGAACTTTTTTAAAAGAAGGAATTATGATAAGTGAGTTTATGTGCTGTATCTTCTCTCCTCTGGTGCTAATAAACCATTAGTTATGTGAGGTGAAATGCACATGAGGGACCGCCACCCAGGGGTGAAACCAAAAGACCAAAACTCAGAAGCACAAACGAGCTGCTTACCAACCCTGTACCACACCCCACCACCGCCTCCGCCACCCCTCTCCTCAATCAACCTCTGCCGTCCTAACCCAGTGTTTACATAAAACGGTGGGTAGTAATGATAGAAATGAGACCATGGACCACCCCATGTCCCTACACACCTTCCTCTCCCCAACCACCCCCACCACCTTCCAGTGCTAACCCAAAGCTGTTTTCACGGGAGCCAAATACCTTAAATACATAATTAGCAGGGTCATTTGTGCAATGGGGCCCCAGTAAGGGCATGAGTGTGTCGGTGTGAGTTTGTGGGGGGCAGAGGGAGAATGAAAGGTAAAGCAGGGGCAGGATATGAAGACATGAGAGAGAGGCAGACAAAGACGTGCATTCATGGCTGTGGCCACAGACCAACTTGGCTGTTGCCATTTTCAAAGGCCACCTCTGCCTTTCCTCAAAAGCCAGAGGGCGAAGAGGAGAAACATAACCAAACCATTCTAATTCCCAGGTTGTCAAATACTAATGCTCTGTCAAAACCGCTGGTGTTTCATACATATGTGCAAGGTATCCAGGTACTGAAGTGTCTGTGTAGTGATGCATAGGGTTTTCATCCTACTCCAACAGTAATGAGCTCACTGCAGTATGAGACACATAGACCTCTTCTGAATGTCTGTTGGATGCTTTGACATTCCCATTGCAAAGCCGAAGAAGGGCAGTGGGAGGACCCAAGGTCTGAAAGTATTTGCATTCAAAGTTTTCTTTTGAGGATATCAATACTATTCCTCAACAGGAAAACACAGGAGTCTCTTTGATAATTTAGCTAGACCATAAACTGACAGATAATAAGGCTAACTAGGGAAAATACCAACAGGGGACTAAAAAAAACACAATGATACAAATGTAAAGGCTGGCACTGAACAACACAAATAGTGCCAACACAAGAGCTAGCTTGAGAACAGCTAGCTTGGGTAAATCAGGAAAATTCACAAATGTAAGTGACAAAACTGACCCACACAAATGCAACCTTACTGGGGGCACAAGAAGTAAAACAAATAGTTAAATACAAGGAGAAACTAGAGCCGAGGTGGAGAAAGACGAACAGGGAACAAAAACTGAGCAGATAACAGAGAAGTCCAAAAAATAAGGAAACACACAGGGCTCAGTCCATCTGGGTTAGGGCTGCAGAACAAACAGAAAAGAAATGCTGGAAGGTCTCACATGAGGAGATCACACACAACAAGCTTGATATGTAAAGATGACCGTCTTACATACTGTACCTGGCTGATACTGGTAATCAGAAACAGCTGGGAGTAACCAGGGCAGGAAGCAGGTGAGAGAGGAAGGAAGTGACCAAAATAAAAGTCTGAAACAGGAAGTTGCTGGAGATTGTGACATTTGAGGGTTTAAGCTAACAGCTTCTCTCAGTCAGATCAGGTTCTGTAAGTTTTATATCCAACAAATGGTCCAAAGCATTTGATTTGGAAAGTAAAATTTAATTACAGTTAACATAGAAATGGAGTGAAATTATTAAAACTTTGCAACGTATCTGCCACTTTGCACCATCAGTAACATCCCCCCTATGACCCCTGACCCTTGAACTCTGATCCTGTGCATTGTGGACAGTTTGGCCAGAATTCCAGTCGTCCATGTTTCACACCAGGAGACCTCTTTTGTATTGTTGAACTGCACACACTCACATGTATTTTCACACTTGCACACACACACACACACACAGAGCCCATTCAGTAGCCTCTTCACACCTTGTCTGTTCCCTCATTCCCTTCTGGCATTGTTTACAAAAGCATGTCCACTTAGTGCTGCCCTGTCTGCCCCTTCTTACTGTGGTGCTGATTACCCACATCCTGAGTCCACTTCATTCCCTCTTTTCTTCATTTTTCTCCTCTGTCTCCATCCTGTTGTACTCTCACTTCGTAGGGTATTCTCACCCCTTGGTTGTGTGCTCCAGCCTCCTCTCTCTCTTCTCAGCAGACATATTGGGTTGTTGTTGTTGTTTGCATGGTGAATACACTGCACACTCTATAGTGACTCCTCAATCCTCACTTCAGCCCACACTCTGTTCTTATGAATGAAGATGTTCATGTCAGATAAAAACTATGAAACCAATAAAGCTTCTGATCTTCCTTTTATCTTTACTTTATCCCCTGCTCCGCTGGCTTTCAGAGCTACTGTCTCTCTCATCTTTTCTTTCTTTCATGTTTTGTTTTTCTTTATCTGGCTCCCTTTTGAGGTAATACGTGGGGCATATGGTTGGGAAGCACAGAGGAGAGAGACTTTCAAGTCCCTTGGCCCTGGGATTAGGGTGAGCTGCTCAGGGAAAGGTAATAAAACCCCCAACACCTACTGTCTGCTGCTGGATACTGGAATAAAGCCCCGCTCTTGCTCAGCTGCGAGCCTTGGATAGCTCACATTTCCTGTACACACCACCACCCTCACATACAGCTTCTGTCCTGCCTCCTGCAGCAGCACCAGCACATGGACTCCACTCCTGCGCTCACATAGACCCTACCATACAGTTATTTAGATCAAACTTACTAGGAAGTCTGATACTAATGATGGAGCTGTTAGGTATTTTTAGTCAGATAGATATTGGATAGATACTTTATGTATTAGAAATGTTTAGTGGAGATAGGATGTCTAGTTAGACTGTTAAATGCTTAGTCATGCTTATGAGTTTCTACAGGGAACATCTGGTCAAGGATAACTAGAGAGAAGAGTTGATGACTGTCAGCAGACAGGGTGTTTAATATTATTATTATGACGTGTATAACTGTAGCCTTAGCCATAATATGTTCTTATGTTTAAGTCACGACATGTTACTAGAGGTCGTGAGAATGTTTTTAGCTACACACCACTTAACCAACAGACACACACACATTGATTTGCTTCATGTTCTGACTACTGCTATGACCAGCTGCAAAGCTGGTAACAGAGACGTCTCGGTTGACGTTTCTGTGTAGTATGGGGCTAGCCCAACCGAGGTCATATAATGTATAGGCCTGGTGGGTTCAGGGTCGTTCTACATCTGCCTGCGAGCAGTTTGGAGGTGCAAGATACCTGAGCGTGTAATGTTAATTTTACCTGTGATCCTTTGAATAAATCAGCACTGTTTTGAAGTTACTTGGACTGTCTCGTCTCTCAGAGTTAGCAATGGTAAGAAGAACCAGTCCTTCAGAGCAGTAATGCTTTTCTTTCACATGCGGGGTGGTCCGTCTAACCTGGAGGTTTCATTACCTCACTTTGTGCCCGTTAGACTGTCTTCATCTTTATTGCTGCATGACATCTCCTTCTATACCTAAATGTATCCAAAGGCACCCTCCTAGAGACACATCACAAATTATGGGACTCAACATTCAGTGAACCACTTTGTAAGCAGAAATATATTTATTGTTGAAAACATAAATATATAAATTATGATTATCGCTGCCTTTATCCAATGGAAGCCCAAAAGAAACATCATGAAGGCTTAATGATAGCATAAAGGCATTTTCCTTAATCAAAAAGCTTGAAGTGTGGTCCCTGGTTGGCTGACAACATGATCTTACATTGATGTGAACAGTGATGAAACATTAGCCTTATAAATATAGCACCATTCAACTGATGGCTAGCTAATTCACAGGTGGGATGTGTGTATGTGTGTGTTAGCTCTAATGTTCACAAGTCAGCAGTAGCTGATACAGCTACGTTTCAGTCAAACTCTTCTCTTTTGACTTTCACTTGACTCACTTCACAGAGCACATCTCTCAATCTCAGATTTCCTCATTTGGACACAGGGTGGAAGACAAGCATTGTTTCTGCACCGCATTGGTCTGGTTACAAATCACTGTTATAGGAACCGGTGAGGAAGCAATTGTTTGTTCCATCGGGTCAGCGGTTAAGGCCAGCACTCTACTGTTTTCAGGCCACCTTGAAGCACTCATCATCATCTGTCCTAATGGTATGTGACTGCATAAGTTGTGGGTCCTTTTAAAGGGTGGAGCAGTCAAAGATTTGTTCTCTTGTCAACAGAGGAGTAAGGTCTTGCTAAACAAGGAGCCCATTCATGCACTTGTTGATTTGCTTTGCTCACTTATTCACTCTTTAAAGTGGACTTTGCTCTGTGCAAGCACAACATGTGTGCTTGTGAAGCAGACCGGGCGGGCATCTTCCTTATCAACTGTGCGATATGCATGAACACATGCACACCCTGTTTATCCCTCTTCTTACACATTTGCAGACATGAGCAGCTCTAACATTTTTGTGTGTTTATGTGATTGGCATGCACACACTGTAATGTGCTGAATGCACATTTGTGTAAAATGTTACTTACATAAAGGATTCGGTGCTTATCACAGCAGTAAACTAAACCACATTATGCCTACTAACTATAAAGTTATCATGTTTGAGCCATTCCGTCCCCCTTTTCATAGCTCTAATTCACCGACACACACGGACTAACAAGTACTGGTGGCCATTTCTCATCTAATCCACTCTAGGCCCACATTTTTGCACCTTTCCAATGGATTAAATACAGGCATCGAACCACAACAAAAGAATTAAACATAATTCCTGCTTTGATATAAGTAAGCATAATATATTTCATAACAAAAATAAAGCATCTTCCTGTACTGACTCACATCTCCTCCTTGCATACATATATCCAAACCATATACAAGACTTGACATCATTCAGATATACGGTAATATAATAAGAAACATAGATGACAAGAATAACAACAACTAAACAAAAGGATGCTCAGATTGTGAAACTGATGGTTACAAAAAAATGAACCACACAGAACTCTTGCATGTCTCCAAAATCATAAAAAACATCCTTTTCATTTGTACTGGAAGAGACAGAAAGCAACCGTCCAGACGTATAAATAGTTTGTATGAGTATTGGCGCATATTCCTTTGAAAATGTAACTGTACATAGCAGGTGGGCAAAGTCATAGACCACCAGAGGTCTCAAACAAAATATCCTTTTTCCTCCGAGCGAAAAACTAAATGTTTCATGCTCCATAGTCTTTTGAAAAAAAAAAATCTCTATAACTCCATTGTTTTCCTATATCTCTTTTTCTTTCTTCCTGTGTATGCAAGGGTCATTTAAACAGGGCAGGGCACTTTTATGTCGCCCAGCTAGAGGTCATCCACTGCTGTTTTGGAGCCTGAACACTGGATTTCCGCAAACACTTAATCCAACTGTGTGATGGTTGTTTCTATTGTGCAGCTTGTTCAAACTAAGTCTGTCAAACTGTTCAACACAAATTGTTCTCATCATCTCCCTTTGGCCTCTTTTCACCCTGCCCAAGCTTCACAGCATCTTTGTCTTCGTAGTCAGCGATAGGATTCCGGTGTCTGGGGACTTGGCGTTCCACAGCTGAAGTCATCATCACTGGTTAATGGTTATCTTTTTTTAAAGCACCTTTGGCATCTTATTTATTTTTGTCTATTGTTTATTTTTCACTCTCATCTTTACAAAAAAGTTTGTCTTTTTAAAAGAAGTTTTCGTGGTGCTGGGGAAGAGGACAGAGCAGGTCTCCTGTTGGTGGCATCCTCTATTTAGCTCCCTCCCACACTGAAATCCCTTGTTCTGATTGGCCTCACCTCACATCCACTGTAGGCAAGACAGTAAAAGCTACGATTAGTATCACAATTTTACAAACACAATAGATGCTTTTCATCATGAAATAATAGCATTGTTTCATTTTGTGTATCAATTTATTCATGCATTTCAAACAAGCTGACACAACACAGACAAAGACCCACGGTGAGCTGAATCATGTTGCTCGAGATTTCTGAAAGATTGATCACACCACCCATCGATATGCCAATATTGTATCTGTGCATTATTTTGTGTGCGCCCAGAACAAAAGACAAAAAAAAGCAACAAAACCTTTGTGGCACAAAATATTACCAAAAAAAATCTCTCTTTTAGTGACAGAGGTGTCTTTTAAGCTGTGAAACAAGACATATAGTTGGTGTAGTCTGCCTGCATAACACAACCAAAAGTGTGCATTCACAATCACAGCACAATGACACAAAACAGATGTAGTGTGCATGCTCAGCACATTACAAGATCATAACATGCAGCATTAGGGCACAGAGCATGTTACTCCTTGCCCCCCCTCACATTGATTGGCTGTGATGTGATTGGTGGTGGTGATTGGCAGGCCCTTCTTGCATCCTGATTGGGCCAGTGCAGTGCCAGAAGGTGAGAGAATGCCAAGAGGACACTAAAGTCCTACCTGTTGCCTTCATAGCTCTCCAGCGGACTTTGGGAAATGAGTGCAACTTTATTATGTTGCCAATAAATCCTTGCTGGACCTTAGATTTTTAGGTTTCCTTTTTTTACCTTTAGCCCTACGATGGCCTGAAAACACAAAGTTGGGGAGGGTAGATAGGAAGGAAGGTTAAAAGCAAGAAACAGGGTTTATGATACAGAAAGAGGCACCGCAGCCCTGGGACAGAAGCAGAAAGTACAAAGATATGGCACACTATAAATACTTAAAGTGCCTTATCAGCACACATCACTGCTCTTATCTAAAACCTGAGGAAGAAAGAGGCTTCAGATCAAGGCACTGGAGGATTAACCTGTTGTCATGCTAAGCAGCCTTTGGACACCCTCCTTTAACACGGAGACTTAAATATACTTTCTCACACACATCCTCATCTATGAAGGCACAAACACACATGCTTTAAAAGTTTTGCAATAGCAGGCCACCTCAGTGTGTCTGTTTGCGAGCAGTGATAGAAAAAAGATCATCCGGTGCAAAGCCAAAGAGCAAGACAGAGAGAAAAACCATCAGACAAACACAAGGAAGGTAGGAAAGCAACAAAATGCACGATAGCAAATGAATGAGCAAGATCAGGACTCAGGCCATCAAACTCAGGCAATGCTGGGACATTATCTGTGATAGTTTAACAATACATTTACCCGTTTCTGCCTCTGGGTTCTCCACCATATGATGCTGCAACGTGCACACACACTCCAGGTGGTCTTCTAATCGCACAAAGACCTCTTTCAGCTTGGGTTTCCTCCTCACATACTCCACCTTAGCCACCTGACGGGAGGAAGAGAGAAAAGATTAGCCACTGAGCTCCAGCACCATCATTACTCTTTGCCATGCAAGTGTTGACCATGAATGTACACTCTCTTTGCTCATCCACTGGCATCAAGAGGCACAGTGCTCGTTCATAAACCGATTCATAAAAAAACCGACAGCTGACGATTTGCCTCGTGCTTGAAGTGTGACGGCAACATTCCTCAGAGGCTGATGCATTGGGCTCCACTCACTGTGTGCTCTACAGGCTGCTGATCAGGTGTGTAAATACCGAATCAAGGGTACGGCTCTGTCCAAGCAAGTTCAAACAATGGGAGAGGAGAGATGGAAGGAAGCAGTATACGCCCTAAGGTTTACCCTGGCAGGAGAAAAGAGGCTGGGAAATCCTCACCCCCACCCCTCCACCCTGCTCCAGGGCTTGAGCATCCACATCCAGACAGAAACACACCATAAAGTTCCTTGCCTTGTCCTGACATGTAAGCTGGTTTTAAATCACATTAATTTTTCCTAATGATCTCAGGGAAAATGTTGCTAAACATGTGCATACAGGAAACACAGTTTACATGGTCTAATCTAAGCTGAACACCAATTAAAAAAACACAAAAGCAACATGGGAATTCCTATACTTCAGTCCAGCTAACACCCTCTCATTTAAACACAACAGGGCCGACCTCCACTTCTCACCTAACAGATAGTAATGGAAAGGACCAGTCCTCAGAAGGTCATGAACAGGCTGTGTTGATGAAAGCTGCATAGAGAAAGTTACATGGAGTTTTTGATGATCGTGTTGTATAACACAGGGGAAGTGGCCATAGGCTTTTACCTCTGTGATCTGAGTGCCAAGAGCAGGTACCCTCTCCATCCACCACTGAGGGTCTGGGAGGTCCATGGAAACATTATCCCCTACTTCACCCATCTTCCTGATCACAGCACAAGGGAGGATACTGACTGACAGTCTCCCAGCGCTCACTGGTGTTATAAATGCATGGTTTTGCAGTCGGCATGAAGCTCACACATGCACAGATGGAGGACCAAAACGAATGAGAGGCTGTCTTCTTCTATGATGGCATACTGCCAAAGCTGGCACTTGGTGCTGAATTAGTCATGCAGACAAACGAACATACTGTACCAATCCCTGTCTGTTAAAAGAAAGTATGATGTTGACATTCACACAGTGAAAGCTGGCTAAAACTGAGGGTGAAGTCAGGAATAGTTTCTTTCCATAGAGAGAAGAGAAAGAAAAGAGGGTAAGGAAGCAAAGGATCTATGCACTGAGCAAACAGAGGACAGTGGTGTCTGGTTTAGCGGTCGTGTGTTTACGGTTTTCAAGCCTTGATAGTAACAGAGAGCAGGTAAAATGGCCAGAGCCAGAAAGAACTGAGAGCATAATAAAGGTGGACCATCACTCTCATTAGGGAAGGGAAGGCCGAGTGTGTGTGTGTGTGTGTTAGTGTGTGTGTGTGTGTGTGTGTGTGTGTGCAAACAGAGGGGGTTATTTAAAGAAGGGGGAGGAGGGACTTCCCCTAATCATGATGAACATCACATTCATGTGTTACCTATTAACATTTAGTTTCTGGATTGCCCACTGGGAAAATCTGTTACACTAACAATGACAGGATAGATAGAGAAGTTATCAAAGCTTTATTGTTATCTACCAAAAGCGCAGACAGCATCACAGAATGACATGAATTTCCCAGAAAACCACTGGTAATATTTAATCAAATTATCTGAATGAAAACCAGGGCAGGGGGGAGAGAATGAGAGGAAAGAGGGATGAAAACTGCAGCTGTCTCCATGGACAGCTCTGCTGCTGTTGGTTACGGGAATCCTGGAGCTGAGGGGGTTTTCAGAAGTAACCAGCGGGGAAGCCAACAAAGTCATCCATGTCTGACACTTACTACTGACTAATGACTAACACACACACAGACCCAAACTTTTCTGGGCAAACAAATAGCTATTGACAGGAGGATAAAGCAGTGGGGGCCCACGTGATGTGAGGCCCAGCGGCAGGCTTGTCTCCTTGCCCCTCACACAGCAGGGTTAAAAATACTTCCTGCATATGCACACTTTCATATTTGTGTGTGAATACATATAACAGGGCTATATAATACTTCTCAGTCAGCCTTTGCTCTGCCCACTTTGTCAACACTCTGTCTTGTTTGCTGTTTCTTGTGTTATGGGAACATGTTGACACGACGGGAATGATGGTCTTCACTCATACCATTTTTCAACTTTACATATAAAATTCTGTCTTCCTCAATTTTAAAAGCACTTTTTCACTTTTGAAACAAAGAACACCAGCTTCCTATCCAGAGTCAGTGACTTCTCACATAAAACATTAATCAGAAAGAGACCCGCATGCTGCGACAAGGGGCCCCACGCACTCTTTGTATAAATCAAATCGCTTTAAACCCTCTAGAAAGCCAAGGCCCTGAGAAAGAGTCCCCCCAAGTGGCTGTGGAATGATATCAAATCCAGAGGGTTAGGGTGAGCCAGGGGGCTCTGGGAAGTGCTCCCCCTCCATTTGTCCTCAGTGTGAAGCTGATTGTCCCGTTTAGGTTAATTGGGAATCCCCTGAGCATGAAGCACTGATGAGAGCATGATGGAGGGGAAAGTTTTATTCTGACCTTCCAAAGAAAACACAATGGGGATGTGCACCACAGGGGATCGTGAGCTGGAATAGTGACAGAATCAAGTGAAAATAAATAAAAATGTATTCAAGTGTTTGAAGAATGGAGGGGTGAAAGGAGGTAGGGTGGGGCGGCAATTCAGCTTTCAGGGGGGAAACTAGGCAAGACACTCAGAGCTTGTTCCCCAGAAAAAAAGACCTCTTGTTGAGATAATACAACTGTGATCAAGTAAAGGAGAGGAAGGGAACGTTCTAGAGATGAGGAATATAAAGAAGCCTTCTCCATCTGTTTGTCTTCGGAAATCAAAGAAAAAACAGTGACACCCCGAAGAAGGGGAAGACAATCTGCAGAGCGAGAGAGAGCAAACTACAAAAAATGCAGATTGAAAATCAGACAAAGACAGGCTAGACAGCCTCTGCCCTCTGCTTCAACCCCCACAACACACAGACAAACACCCGGGGGCAACGGGAGCAAGGGGTTATCACAGGTGGTGTGTGGAGAAAAGAGGAAGCAGGGAGAGCGTTTATCATGTCACTCACAGGATTGCAATGTCCAAAATTGCACTTCACGGCATAAAGCTCTCTCTCTCTCTCTCACACACATCAGTGTATCACCAGATGTGAATATCTATCTGCCCCTGACCACATTCTGTGCTGTTCTTCCTTTCTCCTCAGACACTGAAAAAAACATCATGCAATATCAGATATCAAAGAATCCAAAGTTGTTTCATCTTTCCGTTTATTTTTTCCCTCCTTCTCATGTCTTCACATAACAACAGGAGCGCATGTGAGAAAGACATTATGGTGCACTTAAAAGAGGTAAAAATAAAATAAGAAATAATACAGACAGGGACTGACAGAGGGGTAAAATTAGTCATTGGAAGATAGCTCTGCCGCAGGAGAGAGACAGAAGGAGTGAAGAGGGAGTGAACAACTATTTCACATAACAGACAATCTGAATGAGCGGGACTCAGCAGAAAAGAGAGGTAGAGGAGGAAGATGAAGAGCAAAAGGGAAGACAGGAAAGGAGGAGTGAGGGAAAACAGAGAAACAAAGTACAATATGATTAACATAAGGCTACTTTTCCTGCTTGAGCCGGTGCAACAGTAGACAAACTCTCCAGCTTGGTCGGGACACTCCCATGGTCTCTGACCTCCACCACCACCACCCCGTCGTGCACACCACAAACTCATTTATACACACACACACAAACTCCCTCACCCTTCCTCATATAGTAAAAGAGCTGAGTGAATAAAAAGGGAAAATAATTCACAGCTGCAAGGAACTTCAAACAGGGAGGCCCCTCATTCCCATCTGCCCCCTCCTCACATAATCCACAGGACCCCTCAGATTATCATAAATCATGCTCACTGTATCACCGTCATACTGTCTTTTATTTATGAATCACCCCATAAATCAGGGTCCCACATAAATGCAGGGCTGCAGCTACTGCTTCCCTCCACACACAGTTCGGACCCACTGTCACTGAGGTAATTGTCGGTGTGTGTGTGTGTATTTGTGTGTAAGGGTCAGGGCCAGCGCAGGGACACTCAGCACTGTGGCTGCATCCGCCCGCCCCTGTCAGCTTCCACTTTGATCCAGCAGGCATCAACACTTCATTTCTCTGAGGCCTGTCTTCCTCTTGCTGCAGTTTCACACAAATGGCCTTGTTCCTGTGCTGTGGTGGGGGAATGGAGAACGGAGCACACTCCCTGTCACACACACTCACAAACAGTCTCCTAGGGGTTATACAGATGTGAGCTGATGGCCCTGTCTGACCTCTGCAAAATACTTGTACATAAACTTCAAGAGGCGGTAAATATTTTCAGTTACTACACAAAATGAATTGAGAGAATCTGAACTGTATTCTTGGCAAATGATGTCATATTAATTAGATTATGACTGATATGATAATAAAAAGGGTTGCATATCATGTTTTGCTACTATTTTTACAGTTGTGACAACTTCCTAAAATTGCAGAAAAACAAAGCGTGAAAATTAGATTACAAAAACACCACACAACGTTTGTATTTCCTTGATTACTTTATGTATACCACAAATATAATACTTAATGAATGAAGAAGGGAAATATAATGAATTTACAGAGCAGATGTCCTGCAAAAGCCTTAAGAGTTAATGAATGAGAGGATGAGAGACAGCTCCATTCTTTGCCTGTGTCATATTTACTCAGCCCCATTGGAAGAACAGAGAGGCATTTCAATTCACACACACTCACACACTAAACTGCAAAAGTGCACAAGCATCTGAACTCTCTTCATATCTTCCACACACCAGCTCCTCAGTCCTCCCTGTCCTAAATCATCTGTTGTTTTATGAATGAGAAAAGCAGCAGAGATGCTGGACTCAGCTGCCATCGTCAGAAGACAGAGAGAAAGAACAGAAGGAATACAAGATAGATGATGTGAAATGTGTATAAATGACAGGATAATAAGAGAAGAGATGAGAGAAGACCAGAGGAGAGGAACTGAAAAGATGATGAGAGAATTTGCCTTGTGCCAACAAAACAGCAATGATAAACTAACATACATTAACTCTGATATTTTTCATTATAGCAATTTCCTGCTAAAACTATACCGCTGCAACTCTAAGATTATCATGAAACAGCAATGCTGTGCCAGCCTTCTTTAATAAAACACCAAAAGCAAAAAGAAATGAGGAGGAGAAATGTGAAGGAATCACTCAGAAGAAAAACAAACATGAGAGCCAAGATGCCGGGCTGGGGGAGTGAGTATGGTGTCATCAAGTGCAAAAGGAGGTGGGGATAAAGGAGGAGTTAAAGGAATGCTGGGGTGGTAGAATTATATAAAAACCTTTGCTGATTAGGAACTTGGTTTGCCTGTCTCCCCAGCATTTCTGCCTCTCTATCTCTCTCTTTCTCAGCCTCCCTCATTTACACTGAAAACTGAACCGTCTCTAATCACCTGGCAAGAAGCTTATTTTTGCAGCTCTCTCTCTTATTGGGCCCTTTCCATGCCAAGACATGCAGATAACACAAAAACTATTTAATGCAGTCAACATGCATACAAACTAATACACAGATAAACTTATCACAGTAATAGACCAAAGTGCAGAAGAATAAAATGCAAAAGAATGAAAGCAGGGGGAGAGGGAAACCAAGAAAAAGAAAGAGAGTGACTTTTAGATCTGCCCCCTCTCCTCCCTCAGGCTAGTCCTATTTAAAGTTGGCTTTTTTTATTATCCAACTACTGAACAGGACTTGTACAGTACACAAACCACTTCTCTTTTTTGGGCCCGTAGCATTTAAAAAGGAAAGACAGAGAAAGAGAAGAGGGGAAATAAATAAATAAATAAAGGTGCCGTTTGGACAAATCCATAGTGGCATGAGTTGGAAAGAAACGCAGCAAATGTGTTCTTTTCTCATCCTCGGCCAACTGAAGGAAAACAAGCCGGGCCCAGTGTAGACAGGCAGCATTTTTAGCTTTCTAATAAATGGAGGGAGAAGCCCAAACTGAACCCCTATTCAGACTAACTGCTGAGGAGACAGACAGAAAAAAAAACAACACTTGGCATGAGGTCAGTTTTTTTCACACATAATATGGTGAATGTCTTCAGACCAGAGTGAGGCCTGACAGATGACCTTTCCAGTGATGCAATGCCCCTCAGCCCATCTTGCCCACACCTTGATCCACATGGAAAAACAGCCCCGCAGAGCCCTGGCCACCACGCCTAAAGGACCCTCTCCAGTCAGTGTGCTGATTTTGTCCTCAGTGTCATGATGGGGACAAAGTCACATGGATCACGGCATTCCAGGAATAGCTGAATCAAGCCTGAGAGTCTCTTGTCTGCCAACATCAGTGTTTCTCCACTCGTCCTGTTCACTGTGATCACAAACAGAGCTCCTATTGAGGATGACAGACACCGGCAGTCTGGCAGACGGAGAGACAGACAAGCTTGCATGCAGACACACTCACAGGGTTGTGCTGTATCCTGTATCAGTGCTCGACTCTCACTATGAGTCAGCATTTCTGACCATAAACCCTGTTCCCTGGAAGCAGTGCCCTGTGCCCTACAATGGCCATCTTGTTAGTGCAGCAGTGACTAAAACAAGAGGTCAGAGAGGACATCCTTCTATCTCACCTGAAATCTCCCTGACCTGAGCAAGTGTACCGACGGGAAAGAGGCAGCAGCAGGTGGAGTTGGTACTTGTTTTATTATTCTGCTGATCTACTGAGGCGGCATCTTTTAAGTACCTGCATGAAGAGCAGAAGAGAAAGCAATGTGCCAGTGCCCATGGCCGGGCACCATCATAGTGATTAAAGAGAAGAGACAACAAAGTGCAGAGATGGATTCAAAGAGAAACACAAACACAGTCAGAGTGTTCCAGGCTATCCTGTTTATCCCCCAGTCGTCTCTTACTCTCACAGAACAGAGCACATAACTTCCATACCTCCAAACAGAGCTGTGCACTAGCTAACACGCTGTAGTGTAAATATAACAGAAATACGACACAGTTCCAGTCACGGTGTCTCCTCTGATCCTGAACAGAAGGACATGTTTTCAAGCTACCAATGCCAAAGAGCCTCTGAGAACAGTGCAGTCTCCTTCAATCTCTTCCTTTTTCTCTTTGTCACCTCATCTTCTTAGGGATAACTGCCCCCAGAAAAGACAAAGGGCCAAACAAACAGAGAGCCATGCAATAGCCAGTGACATTCAGACATTCTCAAGATACAGGTGACTGTTTCTCTCTCTCTTCCTCTGTCTGTCTTATATCTGGCAGGAGCATCCTTCTATTCAACAGATATCCTGGCTGCAGGTGCCAATTAGCCTTCTTCCCTCTTGCTCTCCTGGCACTACCACCCTGGCCTCTCGCCAGACAAGGGAGATGAGGAGAGAGGGTGGTGATTGGATGAAATGGAAGGAGAGCAGAGGTTAGATGACCTCAGTTTGAGAGAAGAAAAGGAGGGGCAGACTGAAAAAAGGAGAGGAGCTCTGAAGGGATGAGGGAGTAAAGTAGGAAAGAAGTATGAAAGAAGGCAGGCTGACACAACCTTGTCTCCCATGTGATTTACTTACCTGATGAAAGGGTGATTTCAGTGTGAAGTGGGTGTGGTTGTGTGGTTGCTTTGTGGGATGCAGTAATAATTTG